ATATATATATATATATATATATATATATATATATATATATATATATATAGATATATAGTTTAGGTTCAGGATATCTGATCAAACGTATCCACCAGACTTTGAATAATTCATTCACACTTACTTAGGTTTATCCTCCATGGAAACACTCTCTGTTGAAAGCTTCTCCTATGGTTGGTTGGTGAACCAAAATCCCCCTCTTGATATAGCCGATGATGCTTCTTTCATCGAGATGGATCCTAATCTTTCGCCCTCGAAAAGATTTCTTGTTCATCAGGATTTCGATTTCGATCTCCCAACTTCCCAATCCCCTACCAATTTTGTGGATGCAGATAAGCTAATCTTAAATGGTATTCTGCTTCCTGTGAACTCATACGATGCTCATTCTCCTGCTACTTTCAACTCTATTCCGGTTTCTCCTGTCTCTTCAATCACTCAACGGGACGTTCCTTTGTATCGTAAGAGTCGTTCTTTGTCGTTACGTAGGTGTAATAGACTGCCAAAACGAATCATACAGAAGTATATGGATTTGGTTAGGCCACTTTGGTGTAGAATGAGACGGGGAAGGTCTGATAGTAGCAGGGTGCAAGGCGTCGAAAATTGGGAAGGTTCAACCGCTTCCGCTCCCAGGAGAAGTGAAGCGTGTTGGGCGGATCATCGTCGAAGATCTTGCGACTCCGAGAGCTCTATTCATGAGGCAGTTGTTCATTGCAAGAAAACCATCGGTATGACTTGAGAGTTTCGGTAACCACGGGTGTCTGGTCCAGCTTACGCGTACCTCAACTAATCCAATGAGTCTTAAAGTTAACCGTGAGATAAACCCTCTAGTGTTCCTGAAGAGATTTGAGTCCGTGACCTCAGGTCCTATGAGTTGAGCTACCCGGTTACTTAGAGTGTTCTTTCTTGATGTTAGTTTGTAAAGTCGTGATACATTTAAGGAAAGGTGTCTATTGCCTTCATGTTGCAAAAAATGCTTATTTTACGGTAGCGAGGATTGCATCACATGTATTGTTAATGTTGGGAGAGTTTTTTTACATGAAAAGATTTTATATTCAATCGTTGTCACGTAAAACGAAAAACCTAAAGGTTATATGATCATGTGGATGGTCTTTCATAATTCAAATATATTATGGTTTAAAACCCTTGAAATTAGCATAAATCCGGAGATTCCCAAATAGGTTAACCTTTCAAAACTGATTTGAGAGGATGATCAGCCACACTGGGACTGAGACACGACCTAGACTCATACGGGGTGTGTAAAGCATACTTGTAACTTGTAAGTGATAACTATGGGCACGGCCACATGGAAGCCCATTTGGGCTTGGGCTTCGCTTGAGTTGTAAAAGAATTATTTAGGCCCATCCCATTAATCCTCGACTCCCGTTCACCTATGATGAGGCGACTAACGCCTTCCCTCCGTCTCAAATAGACGTCAACAGAATTCACACACGAGCCGTCTCCTTTTCGACGGCCCACAGGTAGTTATAATTTGTTTGATTCCATATTATTTTATCATGAGAATATAAAACCTAAAGACTACATGTTCATGTGTGTCGTTTTTAATGATTTAAGTTTATCCCGTCACACCCCTTATCCCTCCGACTTTGATGACCATTGTACGATTACCTGATTGCATCACATGTATTTTTTCCAGATGTTTAGATTTTTCTATTCCAAATGGTTTTGTATTCAACGTTATCACGTAAAACAATACATAAAAGCTACATGACCATGATGGTCTTTCATAATTCAAATGTATTCAGGTAAAATACCTCTCGAATGTAACGATGTATAAAACACACACGCATAACTAGGGGCAAAGCCACATAAAGGTCCACCTCGGTTTGGTCTCTTACCAAGCTGTATACGAAAATTTAAATAGGCCTATCTAACTACCTCCCTGCCTCCTCATATAGATGTCAACGAAATTCACACACATACCGGTCTTTGTTTGTTGTTGCATGCTTATGTTCGCTGCTAAACACATATTCTGCACATTGCTAGTTATAATGTGTATGATTTCATATCGTTTTATCATGTGAATATAAAATCTAAAAATTACATGATCATATGTACCGTGTTATTTATTCAAAATTTTCCGACAAAAAAACTCAAGTTTGATGATGTGTAGAAGCACACTTATATCTTGTTTGATTAAAAATGCTCGTTGTAGGATATGAATGATTGCATCACATGTATTGTTTTTGCTAGAAATTCTTTTTGTAGGGGGTGTTTGGGATTGTTTTGACTTATCCTAGTTTTAAATATATTATGGTAAAATAGAACCAAAAAAATGCATCTTGAAAAATTAATCAATTATTATATTTTAAAATATAATTGAAACTAATCTATAATAATATAATATATTAACCAATATAAATAAAATGGTAAAAA